GAAAGGATCTCAAGGACCCTGGACCACATTTTGAGAACCACTGGACTAGGTCTTCTCTAAGGACCCGTTTTAGCTCTAAATCTATGAACCTGTGGTCCCAGCGCCTCGATTTACTACCTAAGTGACTTTGAGCAAGTTAATCAGCCCACCTGGACCTCACTTCCTCCTTTTTGAAATGAAGAAGTTGGCCTAGATTAAGGTTCTTACCCTGGGGTCCTTTCAAGAATATTTTGGTAAGCTGTATTTCAGTATAATTGGTATGTATATACACATTATATAGGTATGTGTATATATATCTCAATAGATATTATTATTGGATGGTTATAACTTATAATCCCACGTATTTTATTTTACGCAGTTATACACCAGATTCTGAGAAGGGCACCACAGGCCTTTTCAGTCTCAGTGGCCTAAGGGGGTCAGGACACAAAACAGGTTAAGAACCCCTAGACCAGAAGATCCCCAAGACTTTGTAGTTATAAGTCTTCGGGACTTAAAACCTACCATGTTAGATCTGGGAAGGGACTTTGGAGTCCCTTTCACTCACCTCTCCTCATTTTATATTTGAGAAAACTGAGGCCCATGGAGGTTAAGTGACTTGTCCAGTGTAACACAGTAAGCATCACTGGCAGGATTTGAACCTAGGTCCTTTGGCTCCAGAGTCAACAGTTTCTGTTTCTCCCCCCTTTCCCCCCCAACTGCAATGTAAGTTCCTTGAGAGCAGTAGCTATTTCATTTTTTTTTTTTTATTCTTAGTGCCTGGCCCAGTACTTTGCACATAGTGGGTGCACTATAAGAACTGAATTAATTGAATTGAATTGAAACTCAGTGTCCTTCCTATGACACTGGATTAGTAATGAAGGATCTAAAGCTAAGTGGATCTCGGAAGCCACTGGGGGGAAAGGGAAGGGAGGCGAACAATCAGTTCTTCGAAGTAAGGTGAAGAGTGAAGATCAGGGGACAGCGAGGTGGCGCAGTGCATAGAGCACTGGTCCTGGATTCAGGGGGACTTGAGTTCAGATCCGGCCTCAGACACATAACACTTACTACTAGCTGTGTGACCCTGGGCAAGTCACTTAACCCCATTGCCTAGCCAAAAAAGAGTGAAGATCAAGGCCTAGTGGGTCCAACGGTTTTCCAGCCACAGCATTGTGGGGTGTGTGTGTGTGTGTGTGTGTATATGTACATGCACACGAGGCCTTCTGTGCTGTACTTGGTGGGTAGCTGAGGGAGGTTTCCAGAGCTGGTGATAGATTTCTGCAGATATAGATAAGTGTGTGATGTCTTGCTTCTGGAAAGGATGCGAGCCAAGGCCCTTGTGATATATCAGGGCAGCAGGAGGCTGGTGAGGGGAAGTGGTCAGCTGTGGCCAGGCCATCTTGTCAGGGATGTTTCCATTGTGGCTTGCAGCCACAGTAACGTATGTGAGGATTTCACTTTTGATAAAGTTGCTCAAGTTCTCTTCCAAAGTTGGCACAGACCCATGTGGCTGAGGAGAAGGGGCCCATGGATGGCCAGCCCTTTGGCCTTTGGTTCGAAGAGCAGGGCAAGTTCCACCAAAGCACAGATTTCCCCTCTTCCCTGCCCCTTTTGGTCCCGGGCTCCACAAAAGCCCTGCTGCCTGCTTAGAGGGGTCGAAGTTGTTCCCAGGTAGGGTGAGGGGGGCCTTTCACTGACCCTCCTAGCCTCTCACTGGCTGGGCGCCTGCGCCTGGCTTCTGCTTTGAGTCCAAGGCTGGCCAGGGCCTGCTTTTCTGGGGTCTCCTCCAAATCTGGCTGGAGGCTGTGGTTGGGGCAGGAGGGTCTTTCAGCCTCTTGCTGAGTCACTTGTTTTGATTTCAGTTACTCTGAGGAGGAGGAGAGCCGCTGAGGGATTATAATTCATAGAGTCACAGTGGGGAGGGAGCACGGAACATAGATTGTCAGAGCTGGGAGAGACCTTAGAGCATAGAACATTAGAGTTGGGAAGGACCATGGAACTCGTCAGTTTTTTTTTCTCATGTTTTGGCACATACACCTGGTATGTACAGGGTCCCAGGTCTGGTCTGTATTCAGTCAGTAGACTGTGAACTAGCTCCTCGAGGGCAGGCACTGTTTTTTTATCTCTTTTTGTATCTCCAGGGCCTGGCACATAGTAGGCATTTAATAAATGTTGGGGGTGGGGGGTGGCTATGTGGTGCAGTGGGTAGAGCGATGGGTCTGGAGACAGGAAGATTCATCTTCCAGAGTTCACATCTGGCTTTAAGCACTTACTAGCTCTGTGACCCTCGGCAAGTCACTTAACCCTGTTTGCCTCAATTTCTTATCTGTAAAATGGACTGGAGAAGAAAATGGCAAACTACTAGAGAAAGAAATGGTAAACTACTCCAGTATCTTTGCCAAGAAAACCTGAAATGGGATCACAAAGTGTCAGACATGACTGAAATGACTGAACGGCAACAACAACAATAAATGTTGATCGACTGAATATTTATTGGCAAATTCTTATGAAGCTGGCTGGGCTCCTTTTCTATGTAAAGAGGGACAGATCCCTCCCTCCTTTGGAAATGAAGGTTTCTGCCATTTTTTTGAGTCATGCTGAATCTCTCTCTTAAGAGTAAAAGAAAGGAACAAGCATTTATCTAGCTCCTAATGTGTACCAGATACTTTGTTAAATGCTTTACAATTATTATCTCATTAGATCCTCACAACAGCCCCATGAGATAGGTGCTGTTATCATCCCCATTTTATAGATGAGGAAACTGAGTCAGATAGCATTTAAGTGACTTAACCAGGGTCACACAGCTAGTAAGTGTCAGAGGTTAGACTTGAACTCAAGTTTTCCTGACTCCAGGGCCAGCTCTGAAGAGAACTTGTAGAAGAATAACTCTTCATTACCACCCTGTGAGTTAAGAAGTATAAATATTATCATCTCCATTTTGCAGATTATGAACCTGAGGCTCAGAGAAAGTAAATAATTTCCCCTAGTGTGACATACAGCTAGTGTGGAATGAAGCTGACAATTTGATGATGCTTCTTTTCTTTTTCTCCTTCTTTCCTTCTTTCCTTCCTTCCTTCCTTCCTTCCTTCCTTCCTTCCTTCCTTCCTTCCTTCCTTCCTTCCTTCCTTCCTTCCTTCCTTCCTTCCTTCCTTCCTTCCTTCCTT